AACAAGTAAGTGTCATTCTTTAGAACAATAATGCTTTGAAATATAAAGACCCTGGTTATCCTACAATTTCTTGCTTTATTAGAGAACATAAAATTGAAAGAGCCTTACTTGATCTTGGAGTTAGTGTGAATTTAATTCCATATTCAATTTTTTCGAGTCTCAATCTAGGTGAGTTAAAACCAACTTCTGTATCTCTTTCTTACTAATAGATCTATAAAAATGTCTAGAGGAATAATTGAAGATGTATTAGTATAAGTCAATAAATTCATTTATCCTATAGATTTTATTGTCTTGGACACACAACTTGTTAAAGCATGTAATTCATTTTTTGTTATTTTGGGACGTACGTTTCTTGCAACTTCTAACGCGTTGATTAATTATAGGAATGGACTCATGAAGTTATCATTTGGAAACATGACATTGAAGATGAATATTTTTAACATTTACAAGCAACCTGAAGATGATAATGATTTATAGGAAGTGAACTTTACTGAAAAATTAATTCATAATCAATTTCAAACCACTTTTAGTAAAATTGAGATTGATGAATCTGATAATTTACAAATGGTTTATTTTCAGAAAGAATCAAAGGCAAGTAATTAGATACCACAAATTGAAGAATTGTCACCACGATCAATTAAGTCCATATCTTTAAGTGTTCAACCACCCAAACCTGATTTGAAGCAGTTACTATTCAATCTTAAATACTCATTTTTTTGGAATGGACTGAACATTGTAAGGAAGCTTTTGTTAAACTTAAAAATATACTTACTTCTATTTCTGTCATTCAACCTTTTGATTGGTCATTACCTTTTGAAATAATGTGTGATGCTAGTGATTATGACGTAGGTGCTGTTTTGGGACAAAGAAAAGATAAGAAACCTTATGTGATTTACTATACAAGTAAAATTTTAAATAGTGCTCAAATGAATTACACCACCACTAAAAAAGAATTACTTGCAGTAGTATTTACATGTGAAAAATTCAGGTCTTATCTTGTTAGCTCACCTGTTGTTTTTAGTGATTATACAACATTGAAATATCTTCTTTTTAAAAAAAATTATAAGGCTAGATTGATGAGGTAGATTTTATTACCTCAAGAATTTGATATCACAATCAAAGACAAGAAAGGCACTGAAAATGTTATTGCTGATTATTTGTCAAGATTGACAATAGATTCAAAAACTAACATCACACTAATTGATGACTACTTTCCCAATGAATCCTTACTTTCTCTTAGTTTAATGCCTTTATATAATAAAAATATCAATTTTCTTGCTTTAGGAGATTTT